ATTATAAAACACATCCGCAAGCAATTTATACCAGTAGACTTCTCAATTTTTCAAATCTTCCAAAACCTAAAAATGAAGAAAACTTTGAAAAAAAACTTGAAGAATTAACAGAATCATTTTATCAAATAATCACTGATGATTATATATAATATTTTACGTTATATTCATTTTCATTTCATGATTATTTATTTATATTTTTTTAAATTTATTTTTATTTATTTATTTAATAATAAAACGTATTATTATTATTTATATTTTAGAATTTTGTTTTTATTTAATAAATTCTTTGTGAAAAAAGAAAAATTATAATAAAGTACAAATAAAAAATATAACCATTAAATAAATTTTATAAATTAATCATTGTCATCACCTAATTAATAATAATTCAATTAATTAAAAATATTATACGTTTTACTTATTAAATTATAAAGCATTATTTATTAATTACAAAATCTTTTATTAAATAAAATATCACAAAATTATATATATTAAAAAATAATGCGTGCATTTTAATAAATTTTATAGAAAATTTTTTAGTTTTGTCGATTAATCCGACTATTTAGTCATTTTAAAACGTACAGTATATTAACAAAGGTTTCGACAACGTCCTTCCCTTAAATCTACTAATTTCCCTCATGCACAAAAATTTTCATATTCAAAATCATTCCTTAATCTCCAATAATATTATAAAATATAAAACAAACTATGAATACATTAATAGATAAATTCAAAACATAACAGTAGATTATCTTCGTTAATCGTCAGTGTCGTTGTTGTCACATCATTATTGTCGTGATTATCAGAACTATTATTCTTATATCTTATACAATATGCTTACCAAGTTAAAATAAGCTTTTAAACTTCAGAATTTTTTTCGTTTTAAATGAAAAAAATTAAAATAAAAAAAAATTCCAAAATTTTAATTTTTTTTCAATAAGTGCTGTTGCATTATCAATTATTTGTTTTTTTTTTAATCAACTCAGTACAATTGAATTATTAACTTCTCCCCGAGATTTAATGACATTGTAAATTCATTCTAGTACAGAGTGGATCAAATCTGCACAAGTATCAACGCAAAACCAGTTAAATTTCGACCCACAATTCTTCTTTATTCGAATTCGTTCAGGAAAATGGTGTAGGCAACGATCAATCTCATTTCATGAATGTTCAACGGGGTTAATATTAGGCCAATCCAAAACCTTCCCATTATTATGAGTTGAATTTGTTGTATGCTTGGGTCTCCATCTTATTTGAAAATTATATCTTAAATAACAAACCCTTGAACTTTCATTGTCGATCTTACAAGAGTCACCAACATCACGTGATTTAAAGCATCCAAGTCGGAATTCATTTAATGGTTTCTCGGGATACTTATTGTCTCCCATCAGATCAGAAACTTTAAATTCTGATTCACCAGATCATATTACTTTTGATCAATCATTAATTGTTCAGTTTTCATATTTTCACACAAAATTTAAAAAAAAATTTTGGTTTTCTTTATTCAAATGAGGTTTTTTTCTTTTTAACTCTCAATACTAATCCATCATTTCCAAGTTTACACCAAATAGCAGTTGCTGAAATATCAATATTTTCTTGTTCATGTAAATGGTTTTGAACTTCAACACAAGAGGAGCACTTACAAGAAGTAATGAGATTTATTATTATTTTTGTATCTGCTCATTTGTAATTGGTGGATGATCTGAATTTGACAAGTATTCAATAGAGTGGCTTTCAAGTCACATTTTCTTAATATGAGAAACTGTAGATGTGTTAATATGTCATGTTTTTGATATTTTTCTTGTTATTAGAATTTGGATCATGTTGTATGACACTTTTGTGGTGTAACTTGTTTACTATGATATTACAACAGTCTATTAGCAACAAGAAGTAAAGTTACAGCTATCAGTCTTACTAAATTGAATTCTGATTACACCCTTTTGCACTCTTGTATACATGATATTTAATAATATATTCTTTTCACAGTTAGGATAAAGCCGCCACTTGACTAAATGTTGTAGACAATTACTAAAATAACTCTATAATCATGCACAAAGGTACAATCTGAAGGTATATAAGTAAGTGGAATAAAAATATCTTTAAAGCTAAGATTTGAAAGTTTGTGTAGTAAGCTGTAATAAACTTTATGCAGTAACTTTATTCAGGAGACAGAATAGTTTATCAAATTTATTTAAAACTTTAATGATATATCAAATTTATTATTAAGTTTATTAAATTTATTGCAAAGAGTAGTAACAGAAATATATCACTGCTTTTGTATGTCTGATTCCTATTGCTAAACCATTACAAAAGAATATTTATTGTTTCTCAAATCATTATAAACTTTTCAAGAAAATTACCATTATTATATTTTATGTAAATATACAAAAATAAAAATGTAAATCACTGAAATTAATCAAAAGAAAATTATAAAGCCTAAATTTTTCACCAAATATCTTTTTCTCCCAAAAAGGTTCTCTAGTTATTTATACCTTTGAGTTGTTTACCTAATTCTCTATTGTCATGTCTGAGCATGTTTTCTTCCCTTTTTCTTAAAGATGATATACAAGGATGAAAGATATTGTCTGAGGATGAAAAATCCATTATAGTACACTTATCTAAGTTTCACCATTGTGAACTCTGATTTTATCCTTATTTTTATTAATTATTTATATATTTTATTATTATATATTTATTCATATATGTATTATTTAATTATTTCTTATCAT